AAATATTACAACTCTCTTGTACATATTACAAAAGTAACAAAAACGGCTTATTTTTTGTCTTCTGGGAGACGTCTGTTATACACCGGTCGTACTGCAGCCATTTAGCTTATTATACATCTTCCACTAACTATTATAAAAGTTCTCGGGACTTTGGCTGACCTGCTATATGTAAACTCTCACTAATATCCAATGGATCTATTATTTGGCCTGGTATACTTAGGGATCTTGTATTAAAGCGACATCGAACCCTCGAATTCATCACAACATTAAGTTCTGTGAAAGCTGCCTTACTCTAAAAAAATTTGTTAAAATCCTTTATAAAAGGTATATAAAATTGCCTCAAACGGGCTATCACAAACACATTGCAAAACGTTTTCGGATTAAACAATCCATCATCAGTGCAAACCTGAAAGTATATAACCACTTTAATTAAAAAGAACGTTAAATGAAAATGTTGACAAAGGTTAGAGCAAAATGTGGTTAATACTTACGGTTGTACATGCTAGTAGCCACCAAAATATGTGGGTAAAAACCCCTTAAAAGTTATAAATTTGAAATTGTTTTACATTATTAGTGTTTCTAATTTATGATGGATAAGTTACCGTTGGATAGGTAACATGGTGGCGTATGACTCTACATGAGTAAAATGGTCCTGAGACGAAGTGCCTACGAGGACCTGTTGATAACAACTGATTATAATGACATTGTTGACAAGTTAGGACGGATGTTGTGTCAGAGCAGTCAGTGTAACTTATGGTAGTTGTCTAAAATTGACAGATGTCAGCCTTATTTAAAATTAAAAAAGTTAAAATTATAATAATGTAACAGTATCAACCATCAATATTGTAATCTGTACTGTAAATTAATCAGATAGGTATATTTGTAACATTGAAAATTGGTTTTTTAAAAATTAATGTAGGTCAACTAGAATTTATGAAATTTTGTGGGATTGATAGGCAACCAACTATACATGTGTAAGGATATATTTATTTTAAGCTAGAGATTTTGTCAAAAGGCCCTGTATGTTGTGAGACATTTGGTACCTAGAAAATGGTAAAAAGACACATGTGGGAAGATGGGTCCTAAAAGATATATTATTGAGTATTGATGTAATAGGTGGAAGTGTGTTTAGATCTGTTATTGAGCTGAAATGTAAATGTGACAAGAATGTGATCATAATATGGTGTTCATGTAGTACTCAACTTAAAACTTAAGTATGGAGGGCCCTTTATGTCAAAAAAAATATTATATATAAAATTATATATAAAAATTTATATTAATATATATTATTATATATATTAATATAAATTTTTTGACATAAAGGGCCTTCCATACTTAAGTTTTAAGTTGAGTACTACATGAACACCATATTATGATCACATTCTTGTCACATTTACATTTCAGCTCAATAACAGATCTAAACACACTTCCACCTATTACATCAATACTCAATAATATATCTTTTAGGACCCATCTTCCCACATGTGTCTTTTTACCATTTTCTAGGTACCAAATGTCTCACAACATACAGGGCCTTTTGACAAAATCTCTAGCTTAAAATAAATATATCCTTACACATGTATAGTTGGTTGCCTATCAATCCCACAAAATTTCATAAATTCTAGTTGACCTACATTAATTTTTAAAAAACCAATTTTCAATGTTACAAATATACCTATCTGATTAATTTACAGTACAGATTACAATATTGATGGTTGATACTGTTACATTATTATAATTTTAACTTTTTTAATTTTAAATAAGGCTGACATCTGTCAATTTTAGACAACTACCATAAGTTACACTGACTGCTCTGACACAACATCCGTCCTAACTTGTCAACAATGTCATTATAATCAGTTGTTATCAACAGGTCCTCGTAGGCACTTCGTCTCAGGACCATTTTACTCATGTAGAGTCATACGCCACCATGTTACCTATCCAACGGTAACTTAACCATCATAAATTAGAAACACTAATAATGTAAAACAATTTCAAATTTATAACTTTTAAGGGGTTTTTACCCACATATTTTGGTGGCTACTAGCATGTACAACCGTAAGTATTAACCACATTTTGCTCTAACCTTTGTCAACATTTTCATTTAACGTTCTTTTTAATTAAAGTGGTTATATACTTTCAGGTTTGCACTGATGATGGATTGTTTAATCCGAAAACGTTTTGCAATGTGTTTGTGATAGCCCGTTTGAGGCAATTTTATATACCTTTTATAAAGGATTTTAACAAATTTTTTTGTGATATATGGTATACAGCCAGCTACAGGAACTTAGTTTCCTCGTGGAATTCTGCCTTACTCTGTTGAAGTTTGCGATTAGGACATCGGTTGGGGTGATTCAGATCTATTTCCACAGAGGAAGATCTCTAAGTCCCCTGCTGGAGTAATCATTTTTGTCTCTTGTCTATTATATTCCCACGAGTCAGGACGAACTGCTGTCACATATGAGAGTGAGCCAAGTGTATAATCCTCAAAGTTTGACAACTTTTTGGAACACCGCTTAGACAAAACTTTTCGCCCTGTACCATGCATCTAATGGGTGACATGGTGTTCTACATCGGAATTGGGTAACCCAGTAGACACAACACAAATCTCACCGTGTCGATGTGCAGGCATATTATGTGTATTTTGTGATTAATTGTATACGTTTTAAATTTAACAAATTTAAAGCTACAGTTAATGATACAGTTGCAGCACCTATGTCATGTTCTCAGTTGATCAGCCGATGTTTACTTGTTTCTATCTTATTCATCTGTCCTATGACCTTCTATGCTTATAAGATGTTTCCTAGTACTCATTGGGTTGATCCTTGAGCACCCAGTCTGTCCTACCTGAGTTTTGATTATTTAAATAATAAATCAGCGGAAAGGTGACAAATGAAACTAACAACAGATTTATAAGCCTAAGGAGTCATGCTTTGAAAATATTTCTAAAAAATGTTTATTCAAGAATAAACAAAAAATGTGGTGAATTTGACGGTAAACCCAATTTAATTTTTTAAACGCAATGGGTATTAGCGAAGCCATATTATACTATAGGCATATGATTGTTCAACAATTTTATGAGTTACATAAAAACGTCATCATACCATTTATAGATTACCAAAAACCTTTTGACGAGGAAGACGAAAGCTGTGAGGTAAGCGAAGCAGACGAGAGGGAGGATGATCGACCAACGATCCTGGAAGTTAAAGACGCTGTAAACAAACTAACCAGAAACAAATCACCGGGAATAAATAATCCCCCAGCGGAATTATATAAAGCAGGTGGTCACGATATCATAATAGCGCTACAGCAGCTTATAAAAGAAATAAGGATACAGAAGTCCCTTCCCAGTGATTGGAATATTGGAATACTTTGCACTATACACAAAAAGGGAGATATCTTTGAATGCTTTGACTATCGAGAAATTACGCTCCTAAATGCAGCGTATAAAATATTCTCCAATATACTATGCCATCATATGACAACATATGCAGAGCGAATAATAGGACAATACCAGGCTGGTTTCATAGGTGATAAATCAATAATTCATCAGATTTCAACCCTGAGACAAATTCTAGAGAGAACACTGGAATACGGTGTAGACACGCACTACATATTTATAGACTACAAGGCAGCCTACGACTTTATAAATAGAAGAGAATTGTTAAAAGAGTACCAAATCAGTTGGAAAGTCTGACCAAACTAACCCTTGAAAAAGTTGAATGCAGAGTACGAATCCAGGGGGAACTCTCTGAATCTTTTAAAACAAATAACGGGCTACGCCAGGGAGACCCACTCTCCTAGATACTATTCAATCTAGCTCTGAAAAAAGTAATACGTACGTCACAAATCACAACTACCCTTTCAATATATAACAAATCTGTGCAAATCCTAGCATATGCTTATGATATCAATATTGTTGGGAGAACGGAAAACGTAACACGAGAGGCATACGGAGCACTAAAAGGAAGCGGCTACAAAAATGGGTTTAATAATAAACACCAATAAAACGAAATACATGAAAATAGGTAAGCAACCACAAATACTTACTGCCACTTGTTATAGAAAACGACGTCATCGAAGCAGATAACGAATTTGTATACCTAGGAACGCTAGTCAATACTGAAAATGACACTACCGCAGAGATAAACCGCAGAATTTGCACGGCTAATAGATGCTATTTTGAGCTTAATCTCCTTTTTAAATCTACAGTTATATCAAGAACTAGAACAGTAAAGCTCTACAAAACAATAATACGCCCAGTCCTAACATATGGTTCTGAAACCTGGACTTTAACAAAAAGCAATGAAAACCTGTTAGGATGTTTCGAAAGAAAAATACTAAGGCGAATCTATGGACCGGTAAATGAAAATGGTGTCTGGAGAAGACGATAGAACTTCGAACTCTATAGAATATACCAGGAACCAGATATCGTAAAACACATTAAGATAGGACGTCTGAGGTGGGTTAGGTCATGTAATGCGGATGGAGCAAACCGACCCAGCTAGAAAAACACTCCTTGATAGAACTATTGGTCAAAGAAGAAGAGGAAGACCCAGAAAAAGGCGATGGATAGGGACGACTGGAAAAAAATTCTTGAGGAGGCTAGGACCCACACAGGGTTGTAAAGCCAAAATGATGATGAAAAACCTTTTGATAGCATAAAACATCAAAAAATTAAGAACATAATCAAAAAAGTTGGAGTTGCTTGGAAATTGAGTTGTTGATTAAGAATCTTCAGATTATTTGAAATCTATATTGAAATTAATCGGCAAATTCATATGTCAACTCACGGAATGCAAATAACAAGAGGTCTTTTACAAAAAAAAAAACTGCAGACAATTAGCTACCTCCGGTTATACCAAACTACCTTCGAAAAAAAAAATTAGCAAACATTCCTCTTTACTATGTCAATAAACCAATTATAAAATTGTGAGTTATCTAATTCACAACTGAGATAAATATCAGAGACCATCAGAAACTCATTTAAAATTTTTGATAGTGTATATTATTCGAGTAATGAAAACGTTGTTAGTAATAAAATTGAGGAGTAATAACGAGCAGTGAAAAATAACGCTAAAGATCATCTCTAGCGAAAGCACGTGTTTATTCTTTGTTTGCAATAAACAATTTATTTTGGCTCGGCATCACCGACCGACCGGTGTTAGTCGAATGAAGCACCGACCCCTCTTCGTTTCAAAATCGAACAGCACGACCGAACTGCCAATACCGCCTTGGGCTTTAAATTTCGCGGCCCGGCTTTTGACTGCGCATGCCTTCTACCGGATTCTTGCGCACATGGCAAAGACCAACCACGCTGGGTAACCGAAAATCAGTCAGTATCAAATCAAGCAGGCAAGCGGATTGTTTCTGCTTGTATCTTAATAATACTAGAAAGTAGATATTAATATATTTTTGTACAAGTGAACCGTTTTTAATACTACTAGCGTCGTTTTTATGACTTAATATTCAGCAATCGAAGGTCTAGTGCTTAATATCAGCGACAATCAAGTTGGTTGTTATCGAAAAACTGTGTTTTCTCTGGTGTTAAAATGCCGGCGTCGAATCTTTTCGCTGAAATGGATCGCGGCAGTGGGATCGGCGATGAAAGGGCTCTACAACTAGCTCTGGAATTGTCAATGCTCGGTTTTAGCGAGCCTCTTCCTTCGGTTTCTGAGCCAGATAGCCCTGGAGATCTAAGTTCTTTCGTCAACCCTCTCGCGAATGTCGGCTTAGAGGAAGTCAGATCCAAGAAGTCACAGAACATGACTGAGTGTGTTCCCGTTCCCAGTTCGGAGCATGTGGCCGAAATCGTAGGCAGACAAGGTAGGTGCATTTTATCTAGATCATTCACACAACTCATTATCTCTACGGTGAATAGGAAGTCAACCATTTATTATGCATCATTCGGCATTGGGATTGCTTGTCCTAGTTACGGGATTTACTATTTTAATAAGCGTATTTTGGAATCAATTTGCTAACTATAATTGAAAAAGTTTGGTTTTTTTGGTTTCAAACACTTGACAAAAAGTTACTGTTATTGTTATACACTAAAAAACAATCACTATAAAAATAATATTCATTATACACTACACTTACATATAGGTAACTAACAATGATTTTTGCAATGCAAAATTATTGTTTTACTTACATGACAAAAAGATAGTCATGCAAAATTTTAGTATTAAAAACAATTTTTAACGGAACTGTTGTAGGTTTAAGTAAATTCTAAGAAAGATACAAGTACTTAATTTTTTTAATATGAATAGGTATCTATTTATAATTCTTCATATATATTTTTATTTTTGCTTGTCATTGTCACTAATAAAATTTAGAATTAGAGACCCATACAGTATGGCCAAGACCTTTGTTTTTTTTTTCTTATATATTTTTATTCTATAAATATTCAGTTTATAGTTCATATTTTCATAAGATCAAACAGTTTCAAATGCAAATGCTTTGATTCCATTGTTATTCTATTTTTGCAATATCCTTAAAATATCAAGATGAACCAGGTACTGGTTTTTGTGAATATCCGTTCAATTAAATTGATTAATAGTTTATCTTACGTTTATTTTTGTTAAACGATGTAATTATATCAATGAAAAATAAATGTGTCCAATATTTTAAAATTTGTTAAATAATTGTGTTTACTTCCTAATTATATGTATTTCTGTATCAAAATACTGAAAAATCTCATGACTTTTAATACTGTTATATTTTGTATATAATTAACAACGAAAATCAATTTCTTAATATTTAAAAAAATATATTGAATATCTATGGTTTCTAACTGTATGTATTTCTGTATCCAAATACTAAAAAAACGATCACACATGCTTTTTATGCTTAATTTCCCACAATTCAGCTCAACTGTTTTTGTTTATCTATGCAAAATTAACAGAGTGTGTTTAGTACACTTAGTCTAATTTTTGTTCAGGTAAATGACCTGAACTCATTATTTTTGTTTATCATATTGTCATAAAGCTATGGCAAACAATAGCCTGCTAGATTACAAAATTATCTTTTTGAAACTGAATATAATCTTCAAAAATGTACCCTCTGAGATCAAGACCTTCAATATTGTGATCGTGAAGAAATTTGAGCTCAAATCTTCAACTTCAAAAGCTATTTCAGTTTCTATTTCATCTGATGATGTTATATATTTGTTATCTATTTCCATCAATTATACAGTATGGTTGTGTATTCATTATCATCTATAATAGATAAAATAATTAAATTGTAGAGCTTATTTTTTCAAACCACTACATAATATCAGGATCAGATATTGTAAAAAGTAGTCACTCAAAAACAACTATAAGTAATGTACCTATTTAAAAGTGCATTTACAAAGCGGGACAAAGAAAAAATTGCAGTATAATAAGTATAATTAATTTAACTAATTTACATAATTATAATTATTGCACTATTAGGAAGGAACCATCTTTTCTATAAATTAAAAATACACTGATTTTTAAATTACCTTTTTTAAGCTCAGTTAAGATAAGAAAACTTTTGTCAATGCTGTTACTTTATAAATAGTAATGGCAATATATTTTCAAACGGTTCATTACGTTTATGCATAGATTATCTTGTTATTGGGCTTATTTATGATAACAAAACAATGTGTGGCATTTGATAACACTGTTAATTCATAAATACCATAGTATCAACTTACTTTTTATATATGTATTTTTAAAGATACGTTTTTTGTGAATTGAAAAGTCTTTACACGATTCAGATTTACACTAACGCACATGCAGACTTCTTCAAATAAAGTTAATAATGTTTCTTGTCTCATTTGTTTGGATATAGCTAAAAGATTACATTTTTCAATTGTTACTCCTAATGCCACAGGCAAATATTTGTATCAACATGAAACACAATCTATACTGCTCAGGTTGATATGAACATATTTCTTTTATCTCTTGTATTATCAATACATTTGCTGATTGTAATAAATTACACAGACCATGGAACATCATTATGTGTTCAAAACATAACCTGGGTGTGTCAAATAACTTAAACTGTTGGGTTTCTCCACAATGCAGGCAGTTGAACTAACATCTTTTTGAAAGAATTTTTACATGGCGATGAAATAAATTACAGAATCTTAAACGCACAACACTGGCATGCATTTGGAAATAAAAGATATGAATCGAATACAAATGTTTCACATTACTAGTTTATTAAGTACACTTGCCATATTTTAATCTAAATCAGACTCAGATTTTGATAACAGCAACAAAAAACGCTTGTAAATAATTATATTGTGGAATTATGACTAATGCAAGCTTTCTAGGAGCTGCCTGAGGTAGGCAAATTTCTTTATCCCGTTCCATCCTATCAGATGTACTCTTAAATCCTGCATACGTTAATTCATATATTTGTGAATGAACTTTAAAAGGGAAGTAGATACGGATATGCCATAGAAGCTGTTGTTCATCTACAACTTTTTATAATCTTTTTACAATCGAGGCATAGTAATACAGTTTTAAGGAAATTTACAGCATGTGCATATGCAACAAAATATATGCATATTTTAATAGTCTCTCCCTAAAAATGTTGTGAATTTAAGACTTTTGCCTGTGTCCACCGATATTGAGGAAATATAACAATAGTTGACCCCTTATTCACAATAGCTGATTCTTATTTTAATCCCTTTTAAGGCCCTGAAGGCTCATGTTTTTTTGGGAAAGTTTTAGGGTGTTCATATGAATTATTAATTTTTTTTGTAACTATTTTAAACTCTCAACATAATTTGATTTATATATGAAGCACTCGTTTTATATCTTTTTTTATATTCAAAAATATTTGTTGGTTACTATATAAAAAAATTGCTGAGTTCTTAAAATTACAAATTTTGGTTAAAATTACTTTTGGAACAAAAAAAACTGGTATTTAAGTAATTGTAAATATAAGAATTTATTTCATATATAAATACAAATATGGACAAATATTTTGTAGATATAGAATCTACTTTACATTTTACGAACAATAATTGTAAATTTTACAATAAACAATTCAAACATTTAATGAAGATTGAAAACCTCACCCAACCAATGATTTTAGCTGTACTTTCATAATTCAATGTTTACATATTTTTCTAGAAAGTTAATGCTTCTATATTCCTTGATGTTATTTTGTCTACTTATCCCATTTTATAGAGCTAATACTGGGTGAGCAGTATTTAGTGAGAATACTTGTGATTACAGTGAGTATTTTTGGGTACCCAGTAGATATATAATACCTTTTGTGTTATACACAAATTACTCTTTATTATTATTAGTATCCTTACTAATTTTAAACATTTTTTACAAGCCTCCACTAATTAGGAAGCTTAAAAAATATCAAATGTGTTCTTTTCTTCTTTAGTTATATAAAATATCTTTACTAATCGTTTAAAAACCAATAATTTCCAAATGGTATACTGTACAAATACATGTATTTCAAGGAAATGATTGAATTGTTTGCTTTATATCTCAACTGATAATGAAATATCAAAATGCATATGCCCCACCAACGTTCACAAATAAATAAACTATTTTGATAAAGCCACACATCTGGCAGTTTACTATCTACTAAGTTAGTGTTTTGGTTTATATTTCGGCATTCTTTGAGTGAGAGGTTTGGTAATATATCTAGATAGTGCATTGCATATAATATGAAGAATGGTTGTAACTGTGATTACAATTATTGCAAAAGCATCAACTATTTCCAACTCAAAAGAATTTCTTAGTACTTAGCAATTCGAACTACCTACTACCTCTTAGAGGAGACACTTTTTAGAATTTCTCCTTCCGAAATTAAATATGTCAAAGCCGGTGTTATCATTATTAACCTATACTCATTGTATAAATCTTCAAAGAGAAATTTATCTACTTCAGCAAATAAAAAATGAAATGAGTCATACACGTGATCTTTATGACACGCTTATCGTGTCATTTAGCTGTCATTATTATTTTTACTTTTATTTTACTGAATTTATTTTTATTTATCATATGTGGGATATGGTAAGAACACATAGTTAAATTCTATCTTCATCGTTTTTCTTGTTGTTGTGTCAATATATTAACCTCCTTATCTCTTCACATCTTTTGTTTGAATTATTTTCTGTTTTTGTTGTGTCTGGTAAACATTTTTTGTTTTGTTGGTTTACTTTTAGTTCTTGTAGTTCTTGAGATTCTTTGTTTTAATTTTCTCTCTTCTTTCTGAAGTAGTTCTTTTCTTCTTCGTTTACTTATTTATATTCCTCCTCTGCTTGCCGGGTTCTGTGCCCCTGTTGTATACGTAAATATGCTTTGTTTTTTTTCTTTCTGTTATAATCGAATGTTATTTGTGAAACCAGTCATTCATTCTTATTGATCTTTATTTACTCTCCATGACTAGTAACCTTCAGCTGCTTAAAAGTGAGCACATTACCACACACAATTAAAAATATTACCACATTCGACAATAAATCAATACATAGGTCCTTCCAAATCCGTTTCCCATTGCATATTATATATGCAGGATCGTCGTGCTAATTAAAAACATATACGTAGCCTGCTGCTGGCAAACTAATTCTGATTCGACAAATACACGTATGTATAACCTATATATCGATGAAAATCGTTTGGGCGTAGAGTCAATAATTGGTTGCAAAGCAACGACAAGTTGTTAGCTAAAAATCATTAATTAGATATTCTGGTTATTAGAAGAGAATTTTTTTATTTGGGCCAGTGAAGAAGTCTTTATAATTCTCATTATGTAGATATAGTTTCTAAATAGGACAGAGACAGTATCGCATGCAGAGTATTAGTTATAGGTCTAGATAATTGAACGAG